AAAAACCGGGCTGACTATGGAAGAGTACTATTTTGCACTGTTGTCTGAAATATTTCTGATAAGAGTATATCCTTTGGGAGTGATAAGAGAAGAAATGATCTTTTGGAGTTGGTGAGTAATTTGTGTGTAGTATTGGCTGGCTTAACTAGACCAGGGCAGTTACATTCTACACACCCCAGGGACATGGCGCACAATCAGCAGTCTCCCATTAGGAGTCCTCCAGAATTTAGTCTTCTGTTATATAATTCCAAAGTACAAATTGCTCTCTTTTTTTTTTTTTTAAAAAAAAGAAAAGATTATTTATTTATTTGAAAGTCAGAGTTACAGAGAGAGGGAACGAGAGGCAGACAGAGAGAGAGAGAGAGAGAGAGGTAGGTCTTCCATCCAATGGTTCACTCTCCAATTGACTACAGCGGCTGGAGCTGAGCCTATCTGAAGCCAGGAGCCAGGAGCTTCTTCCAGGTTTCCCACACAGGTGCAGGGACCCAAGGACTTGGGCCATCTTCTACTGCTTTCCCAGCCATAGCAGAGAGCTGGATCGGAAGTGGAGCAGCTGGGTCTGGAACCGGCACCCACTTGGGATGCTGGCACTGCAGGCAGTGGCTTTACCTGCTACACCACAGCGCCAGCCCCTACAAATTGCCTCTTTTAGCAAAAGATGAGTGGAAAAAAATTAGATCTATATAGATATGTGCAGTTTGTTATCCTCACAAGGTTTCAAACACAATGTGCCTGATGACTCTGATCACTTGCTTCAGAGCACATCATGTGCCCGAACATCACAGCCATGGTCATTGTTTTTGTGGTTGTTTAGTTGAAGCTAATGCTAACTGTAGGGTACACTCTGCAAGTCTCTAAAGCTGCATGCTTTTAACTGAAATCTTTTAAAAGTCAAAGACCTCTGCCAGTGTCTTATTGAGAATAGTCATTTTTTAAAAAGATGTATTCATTTATTCACTTGCAAAGCAGAGCAACAGAGGGAGAACAACAAGGAGAGGGAGTGATAGAGAGAGAGAGATCGTGATCTTCCATCCTCTGGTTCACTCCCCAAGCAACCGTAACAACAGCCAGCTCTGGGCCAGATCATAGCCAGGAGCCAGGAACTCCACCCCTGTTTCCCACATGGGCCATCTTTTGCAGCTTTTCTGGACACATAAGCAGAAATTTGGATTCAAAGTGGGGCAGTCAGGACTTGCACAGGCATTCTAATGTGGGATCCAGGCATTACAAGTAGTGGCCCTGAGAATGGTCATATTTGACCTAAAACCTGCTGTCTATCTTGGAGCCAAATTATATGGCAGCATCCACTTTTATAACTCAGATTATGAACAAGTCTTTAGTTGTTTTCTTTTGTGCTGCCTGCTGCTATGTTAGGTTCACGATACTACAGTTTTTTTCATCCAAAAGGCAAGAATTATTTCTCCACATTTTCAAAAAATAAACTAGCACAAAAATATTATTCAAATGCAGTGTAAAAGAGATAGCATTATTTTTTTATTTTGGACAGGCAGAGTGGACAGTGAGAGAGAGAGAGAGACAGAGAGAAAGGTCTTCCTTTTGCTGTTGGTTCACCCTCCAATGGCCGCCGCGGCTGGCGCACTGCGCTGATCCGATGGCAGGAGCCAGGTACTTCTCCTGATCTCCCATGGGGTGCAGGGCCCAGGTGCTTGGGCCATCCTCCACTGCACTCCCTGGCCACAGCAGAGAGCTGGCCTGGAAGAGGGGCAACCGGGACAGAATCCGGCGCCCCGACCAGGTCTAGAACCTGGTGTGCCGGCGCCGCTAGGTGGAGGATTAGCCTATTGAGCCGTGGCACCGGCTGAGATATTCAGTCTTAACACTACCATTCTGTGATGCAAGAAATTGCTATCTTGGAAATTGAGTTCCTATTTGAAAAAGGAGTCTGGAATTATATAATATTTCTTTAGTTATTCAAATGGTACTTTCTCTCTTGAATGACTCGTGCTTCTGACCTCAGCTTGGTTTACACAGGACTTAAGCTGCGAGGTGGAGTGCAAAAAAGGATAAAGTTAGGCTGTTCCTGAGTGTGTGTGTGTCTTAGTATGTGGCTTCTGGCCTGGAGAAGTGCAAGTCAATACAGCACTCCACAGTTCATCTAGATCAGGAATGTCTCTGAACAATGCTTCATCTAAACCATCTAGTAGGGAAAGATCAGGAGGCTGGAAAAATACACACATGAGAGATTATAGTTAATTATAAGTGAGAAACTGCACTTGTTGCTTATTATGAAAGCATACATACAGGTATTGTGTACATTTTATAATTTAAAAATTATAATTATATCCAGTTGCTTACTAGTGGCATAGAAAGTCCTGTTGTACTGAAGTAGTACTAATTGTTAAGTCTGTTTCACAAATATATGATTAATTAAATCAGTAACCTTAAATTGCTCTTCCGGGCCGGCGCCGCGGCTCACTAGGCTAATCCTCCGCCTAGCGGCGCCGGCACACCGGGTTCTAGTCCCGGTTGGGGTGCCGGATTCTGTCCCGGTTGCCCCTCTTCCAGGCCAGCTCTCTGCTGTGGCCAGGGAGTGCAGTGGAGGATGGCCCAGGTGCTTGGGCCCTGCACCCCATGGGAGACCAGGAAAAGCACTTGGTTCCTGGCTCCTGCCATCGGATCAGCGCGGTGCGCTGGCCGCAGCGCGCCGGCCACGGCGGCCATTGGAGGGTGAACCAACAGCAAAAGGAAGACCTTTCTCTCTGTCTCTCTCTCTCACTGTCCACTCTGCCTGTCAAAAAAAAAAAAAAATTGCTCTTCCAAAAGTATCATCTCTTCATAATCTTTGACAAATATTGAAATATGTTTGGTAGCATTTTTCAAAAAATCTACTTATTTATTCGAAAGGTGGAATGACAGAGACAGAGAGGGAGTAGGGAAAAAGAGAGAGAGTGAGAGAACGAGATCTTCCATCCACTGGTTCACTTTCCACATGCCCACATGGCAGGGCTTGGCCAGGCTGAAATGAGGAGCCAGGAACTCCATCTAGGTTTCCCACTTGGTTGGCAGGGACTCAAATAGCTGAGCCATAATCACTGCTTCCCGGGCCACTAGGAAACTGGATTTGAAAGGACTAGCTGGGACTGGAACTGGCACTCCAACATGGAATGTGGGAGTTGCCAGTAGTGGCTTAACCTGCTGTGCCACAATGCCTGCCCCTTGGTAACATTTTCATATTTCCTTTTCGTGTTAAAGAACCTGCATTTTGCTTTGCCAGGAGTCTGATTTTTAAACAATAAACTGGGAAATTTTTACTAACAAGTGTCTGAAAGTATAGATTTTTATGCAGAGTAGTGCATGAGTATAGGATGCTTGCTTTTCCTGCTCATTGCAAAGGGAGCTGTTTACCTGGGCCAAGCAGCATCCAAGTTTTCTCTAAGTCTATGCCATTTCTATCATCTGAGGGCTTATAATGCTTCCCATTTATTATTTAACATTTCAGGAGAGGGGGAACTTGAGGCCTGAGTGTCAGGAATAAGAATTTTTTTTCCTACAGGGAACTTTATGATTTATGGCTACTAAACACTAAAACAGGTTAATGAAAGAGATTATGTTTTTTCCTTTTATAGAATTTTTGACTAGCAACAGAAATATGTGGGTCTGATTAAGATGTAGTGTTTTTCTGATAAAGGGTATTTATAATTCTAAGCTGCTATATGCTCAAATGGTATGAAATTTCCAGTTGTGTAAACCATATACTTTCAGTTAATTATTCACACCTCAGAATGATCCTTTGATATTACAAAGAATTCTTTGTCAATGCCTTTCATTTACTGAGGATCTCTATGCATTTTCAATATGATTTGTTTTAGCACAAAGTATCTGTGTAGGAATACATCACTTGTTAGGTCAAGTAGATTGTTTTTTTTATGTTACAGTGAAATTGTCTATCAAGCTTGATGTTGGTTGAAATATTTCAAATATTTTTAAAGATTTGGAGCATATCATAGAGAGAAATTTATCAAACACTAATAATTTGTAGAGAAAAAAACTGTGCTACTCCTTTTATCTTTTATTCTAATGAAGAGAAAAAGAAGACTGGAACTTGTAAGCTTCTCAATAAAGCTGTCAGAAATCTAAAATTTTGGGGTTAAAAAAACTTCATTGTGTGGATAAATATACACCATACAGTATAGTTCTCTATTTTAAATTTTATGTATTTATTTGAGAAGAGAGAGAGAGAAAGAGAGCACATGCAAGCAAGAGCACTCCCACCTGCTGGTTCACTCCCCAAATACCTGCAACAGCTGGGATTGGGTGAGGCTGAAGCTGGGAACCAGGAACTCACTCGGGGTCTTCCATGTAGGCAGCAGGAACTTAGTTGAAACCATCATAATTGCCTTCCAGTCAGTGTTAGCAGCCAGATGAGTCAGGAACCAGAGCTGAGCGTCAAACCCAGTTACCCTGACGTGGCATGAGGGTGTCTTAACAGCTAGACTGAACACCCACCTGGGTATAGTTCTTTTAGTGGCATATCATACAGGTTGAGTATTGGCCAAGGCATTACATTAGTAGGAGATATGTTCATTATGTTCATAGAAACTGGCTTTTTATCTTCTAAACCTTGTGCTTTCCATAAAAGAAAACACAACATGCATCTTGTGAACTTTCACTTTCACCAGTTGGGTGTTTCTTTTAAAAACAGAACTTCTGTATAAATTCATAGTCCTTAATTTTTCTAATTAGAAATGCTTGCTTGGCCGATGCTGCGGCTCACTAGGCTAATCCTCCTTTGGCGTCAGCACACCGGGTTCTAGTCCCGGTCGGGGCGCCGGATTCTGTCCTGGTTGCTCCTCTTCCAGTCCAGCTCTCTGCTGTGGCCCGGGAGTGCAGTGGAGGAGGGCCCAAGTACTTGGGCCCTGCACCCGCATGGGAGACCAGGAGAAGCACCTGGCTCCTGGCTTTGGATCAGCGCGGTGCGCTGGCCGCAGCGCACTGGCCTCAGGGGCCATTGGGGGGTGAACCAACGGAAAAGGAAGACCTTTCTCTCTCTCTCTCTCTCTCTCTCTCTCTCACTGCCCACTCTGCCTGTCAAAAAAAAAAAAAAAAAGAAATGCTTGCTTAAGAATGATAAAGGGGCCAGCGCTGAGGCATAGTAGATTCAACCTCCGTGTGTGGTGTCAGCATCCCAGCTACTCCACTTCCAATCCAGGACATTGCTAATGCACCTGGGAAAGCAGTGGAGGATGGTCCAGTGCTTCAGCCCTTGCACCCTCTTGGGAGACCCAGAAAAAACTCCTGGCTCTTGGCTTCAGATTGGCCTAGCTTCTGCTTTTGCAACCATTTTGGGGGGGGGGGTGAACCAGCAGATGGAAGACCTCTCTGTCTGTCTCTCCCTCTCTGTAACTCTGCCTCTCAAATAAATAAATTAGTCTTTTGTTTTTTTTTTTTTTAAAAGAATGGTTAAAAATTAGTAATTGTTACCCTTATCACAAATCTGTTGCATGAATCAAGTGCAATAATGCATATGAATGTACACTTGAAACTGCAGTATCCAACGTAATCGTCATATCCTGATTCACTCTGGTTGTTTTAAGGCTGTGGAGTTTGCTAAGGCTGGTATATTTGGATGTTGTTCCCAGCTGACTGGAGCAGGAAACTCTGCCATGATGTAGTGAGCTCGGAGCAGTGTGCAGGGTGGTGGCCTTACCGGTTGCCATCTGTCTGCCCAGAGCTCTGTCTACTGCATTGAATGCTTCTGCTTTAGAACTGCTCACCAACAAGGGGCTTGCCAGTTCTCACTGGAAGTTGTAGTCCTTGACATCCTCCTTGTTATTCATTTCAAAAGTAAATTTGTGGCCTTGGCTTTCTAAATGGCAATTTTGTTTTATACTCTCAGATGTATTCCAGTGCTGTATTTAAATGCTTCAAGCTATAATTTGTCCAGAATGTTAAATGTCTTACCAGAATGAGTTAAAGCTTATTGCAAAGACTCTAAAACCTTTGTATGTATTTTGCTTTATTTCAGGATAGTATCTACATGCCATTCTTTGGTGGTTGGGATTTTTGGCCTATACATTTTCTTATTCGATGAAGCTACTCAGGCTGATCCACTTTGGTAAGCGATCTCTTTCCAAGCTAGTCAATTTGATTTATGTTTTTCTATTAATTATTAATAAGAACATCACTTTAAAACAGAAAATGCACTGATGATACATGCTTTATTAAAATGCTTGTGCTTAGATTTATTTAGTATTTATTTTGGCTTGTGTTCATATTTAAAGTGCATTAAAATGATTTATTTTATATTTGAATACAAATAGTAATGACCATTTTGCCTTAGCATTGTAATTGTTATCTAAAACAAGGAGAAATGATGATGTAACATTTATACTGCATTAGTCAGTATAGCCAAGTTATTCTAACTGCTGTTCTGAGCAAAAATGAAATGGTCAACTGGAATAATATCTACTTAAGATTTTGTTTTTGAATTTGTGGTTGACCCATAGTTTGACCTCAGAGAGATGAGATGAGAATTATAGATGACCATGAAGATTTGAAGCACTAATAACAACTATATCTGGCAGTAATATGACAGTTTGTAAGAGGATTCTTTTTGAAAGATTTAAAAGTCATTACAAGGCAGAAATTTTGCAAGGTGTATTTCCTGGCATTATATGAGAAGGTTTAGTTCAGCTTAGTTTGAGAGAAGAAGTGCATTTTGAGAAAGCTCTGCATTGAGATAGTTCTGGGCTCTGGGTGGAGGTAGAGGTTTGGTGGGGGTGGGTAGGGAAATTTAACCTTGGCTTTTGACTACCACCATCTGATTGTAAGGATATTGTTTTTCTCCATAAATAGGACATTTTTCCATTAGAGTTATACTGATATTAATAACATTTTTGTGGGGAAGATTTTTCAAAGTAAGCCAATTTAGGAAATTTAATTCTTTGACCAGATTTTTGTATCATTTACTTAAATAATTTCTAGCTTTTATTTTTTCAAAAATTCATTTTTATTTTTTAACAGGATTTTCAGCAGAACCAGTTCTTTGCAGAAGTAAATTTTAGGAAATAGATTTGATTTATTGGTCATTTTTTGCCATATCAAACATTAAGTAAATATGATTTTCAGTATTTTGTATTTTCTTTTATACCATGATTTATTCTATATCAATTTTCTGGTCATTATTTGCAAATCAGAATCTTTGAATCTTTCTATTTGTAGTTTAGCTGTTTTGAGTTTCATTTTGTGTTAATTTCACAGTTCACATTGTAAGTCGGATATAAAATTGATAATTTGGATTTGTTTCTTGGAGCAAAGAACACTAATAGAGCAAAAGGGTAGCATCTTGATATGTAAATGGGTTGAAACAGAGTGGAACTGGCCTATTCTAAGCATTTCCTAGTTGAGTGATAATAGGCAAATCCCTCTAGTTCTCAGTAGAATGATGTTGATAATATAGATTGAGCATCTCTACTCTGAAAATCCAAAATGCTCCACACTCTGTAGCTTTTTTGAGTGCTGACTTGATGCCACAAATGGAAAATTCTACACCATGAAATTTTGTTTCAGGCATCAAATTTTTTAAAATATTATTTAGAATTCAGGCTCTCTATGTAGGAAACATAAATGGATTTTGTTTGAGAGTGGGTCCTAACCCCAAGATAATGTCGTTTCACATATGCAAATATTCCAAGACCTGAAAAAAATCAAAAACCTGTAACACTTCTGGTCCCAAACATTTCCTATGAAGAATATTCAACCTGTACTATGCTGCCCCAAAATCAGAGGTGGGCTGGATGATGTGTTGAGGCAGTTGAGCCTCTGATTTAGAATAAAGAAAGCATCATCAATAACCACCACCACAAGCCAGCATCTAGAGTTCCATTAGAGTCCTCTTGCAGGACTTATAGATCTTATTATCTTTTGGTAAAGCCATTTAAGTGAAACTTTTATATAATATGTATAAGAAACTGTTTACATAGTTAGAAGTATTCTCATAGCCGACACAATTCTTTGTGCATTGACAGTTTTAAGAGGGGTTGCAGAATTGGAGAGTGAGGCATTCCTTAGGTGACATAATCTCTTTGGAGCATCAACCATAGTGGGCCCTTCGATGTCTTCCAAGCCCACTGTAAATGCCACTGGTTTGTGGGAGCTGCCTCCCAACAGGAAACAGAGCAAACCCTAGGAGGAGCCCCTGGCTCTGCAGTTCTGCAGTCTTGGGTTCAGGAAATGCATTGGGTTCTCTTGGCAGCCCTCAGGAAGTCTGTCGCTAATGTTAGGGAGGTTGACCTGGGTTGGCTTAGGGTGTTTTGGAGGATTATAGCTTTGCTGAGAGTCCAAGAGTTGCTTATTTATCGTCCAGCACACTTTGGAAACTGGCTTGGATCTCAAGTGAACTTCATGGAAGGTAGGAGCTGCCCAAGATCTCATGATGAAAACAACTCATTGTGGACAGGAGGACTAGATTGCCTTGATATGGGGGTTGGGGCTGTTGGTTCGGTTTATCCTGGGGACAGCCTATAGCTGCCAGTACCACTCCCACAGGACAGGTCTGTTCAATTGTTATTGTGTGTTTTATAGTCTAAGTTTATAACTGATAGTGTATCATTCCAGAATTTATAGAAAGTATTTTTATCACATTGAAATTTCATTAGAAGAAAAAAGCAGTAGTCTTTTATAAGCCATGTGCTTATGAAGGTGATTTTTTTTTAACATTATAGGGGTGATCCATCACTTGTGAAGGTGAATATTGCTATTGCTTCAGGCTACCTCATGTCTGGTATGTGGTATGTTATTCAGGTCTATTTTTTACCCCCAATACTCATGGAATTATACAAAGAATACACAGTCACTTGCTTTTGATTTGTTTATTTGAAAGGTAACTTTTAGGACCCATACAGATCCATAAATTACCATGATAAAGTTAGAACATGAAATATACTTTCTTGTTGCCATTCTGGTTCTTACTAAAGATGAGAGTTACCAAGTAGGGCCTCTAACAACCAAGGCATGACTTTTCTTTTTTTAAAAGATTTGTTTTATTTACCTGAAAGACAGAGATTGCAGAGAGAGTGAGAGGGAGAGACAGAGAGATCTTCCATCCACTAATTCACTTCCTAGATGGCCACAACAGCTGGAGCTGGGCCAGGCCAAAGCCAGGAACAAGGAGCTTCCTCCTTATCTCCCATGTGGATGCAGGGTTCCGAGTACTTAGGCCATCTGCTGCTTTCCCAGGTGCATTAGCAGGGAGCTGGATCAGAAGTAGAGCAGTTGAAACTCAAACCAGTGTCCATATGGGATACCTGCTATGCTACAACACTGGCCCCGACATTTGAAAAAACAAAGATTTATCTTATTTATTTGAAAGGCAGAGTAACAGAGAGAGGGGGAGACAGAGGATCTTTCATCTTTTGGCTTACTTCCCAAGTGGCTACAACAGCCAGAGCTGGGCCAGGCCACGCTAGGGCCCTGAACTCCCTCTGGGTGTCCCACTAGGGTAGCAGTGGCCCAAGCACTAGGCCATCTTCTGCTGTTTTCACAGGCATGTTAGCAGGGAGCTGGATTTGAAGTGGAGAAGCCAGAACTCAGCCTTCATATGGGATGCTGGTGTTGCAGGTAGTGGCTTGACCAGCTGTATCATGATATCAGCCCCAACACATTAATGATGATCTGTCTTTGGCTTAAAGAATCTCCACTGTAGTTACTGGAAGCTAATGAAGTTGAAGCCTTAGTAATCCTCACAAAGTTCCTTGAAGTGTGTTTCACTAGTTAAGGCTTTGTATCATTTTGGTAAAACTTACAAAAGTAAGTAAATAGATTTAGATCACTAACTCTATTACATATTCCCCTCTATTTTATTTTCCTTTATGATGACTGAGATTGGAGTGGCCTTTTTTTTTTCATGAAGCAAAGGGAAAACTGAGAATATTACTATTTTAATAGCCATCGGAAGATATGTTTTTGGATTGTCTTAATAAAACAAGAGAGAAATAACAGATCCCTGATACATTTACATAGGAAACCCTGTCTTTATTTTTAACCTTATTAAATAGATGAAAGAAAATTAAAAAATGATGGAATATGAAACAAAAGTCATAACGGTAAGTGATGAACTCAGTAGAAAATTTTCTGTCATTAAGAAGTGAGGTGTAACAACAACAAAAAATGGATTCTACCAAAACACAGTAACTCATTTAGAGGAAGATATAAACTTTGAATAGAAATAATGAGTAGGCTATTGGATAATTTGATGAACCAATTAAAAGAAGGTGAATCATGAATATATTAAAGATTTGCTAATTTGACACAAAATGTCACTGACAAGGATAACAGAATTCATAACATTCCACAGGTCCTGGTTAGTGAGTATTGTCAATTCAGAGAATAGTCACTTCCCAGGAAATCTTACATTAAAAAAAAAAAAACCCAAAAAACAAAAAAATTTGGACCAGCACTGTGACATAGCAGGTAAAGCCACCACCTGCAGTGCCAGCATTCCATGTGGGCACTGATTCCAGTCCAGGCTGCTCCACTTCTAATTCCAGCTCTCCACTATGGCCTGGGAGAGCAGTCGAAGATGGCCCAAGTCCTTGAGCACCTGCACCCACGTGGGAGACCCCAAGAAGCTTCTGGCTTCAGATGGGCCCAACTCCAGCTATTTGGGGAGTGAAACAGTGGGTGGAAGACCTCTTTCTCTCTGCCTCTGCCTCTCTGTAAATCTACCTTTCAAATAAATAAATGAATCTTAAAAAAAAAAAAACAAACAAACATGATTAAGCTGTTTCCAAATAGATATCAATCCAAAGCAATTTACCAACAAGAGTTATGAACTGAAACAAGCTTTTCTAAACCAAACTGAACGGAGAGTGAATTCTTTTTTATTCTCCTGTATTGCAAAATCATTATCATATAAATGGGTACCAAGGATCATACAGCCAAATTATGTAGGGAAGATAAATGTCTTCACAGAGGTGTATCAGGCAGTTAATTTCTAGTAATCACTATTAATTATATTACTTTTCCTGATTTGTGTGTTTGTGGTATTTGCTTTCTTTATAAAATATGTAATTTGATGCTTTTCTAAATATTCATCCCTAGTTTTTTAGTCATAATTTTTAGTTTTACAAAAGAAAGTCCTTACATTATCTAAAGTCTTATCCCACAAAACCTGAATCTTCCTCTGATCTACCTCTTTGAAAACAATGTGTTTCTATATCACTTCTTGTATAACCATTTGGTAAAGGAAATAGTTATGTTAACATTTTGAGCAGATTTTATGTTGTTAAGGTAAGCAAATTATCTTCTGAGTCATGATGTTTAGATTTAGAGCCTTTGCAGGAAATTCATGTCTTGACCTTTGTGCATATCTTTTTAATAATCCTAGTGCTTGGTGATTTTACTGTTTTGAATTAATATTTAATTAAAATTTTTAATTTAAAAAATAAATTTGTTGTATTCATGTTATAAATATGAGTTGATCATTTTGTACCTTTTATACCATCATCTTTTCTTGATTTATTTTAGTGACAAAAATCAGTAATTTAAGCTTATTTTAAACTTTGTTTTATTAAGTCGTATTGTCATTGTCTTTAACCCTGGAAACAAGTTATTTAAACTTTCAACAGATGTTACGTTGCACACTTTATCCTGGGCTCTGATGTTATGTGACACACTTTATCCTGGGTCCTGTACTGAATTCTGAAGGTATCAAAATGCCCACAACTTGGCTCTGGTCCTGGAGAAGCCACAGCAGAGGGGATTTTCAGGGACAGAGAAGCAGGTATTTTAAGATAAAGTGAGCAATCAGACCAGCTGAGGGGTGAGCCAGGTGCTGTGGCCTCAGAGTAGACCGTGATAAATTGTCAAGAGAAAGTTAAATGCACTTGAAGAACAATGCAGCTTTCTTCTCATGTAATATGGTATTTATTTTTCCTTCTTACAGATTTGTTGATCCTCATTTTATATTGGAAAATAATTGGTGACAAATTTTTTATAATCCACCATTGTGCAGCAATTTATGCATACTTCTTTGTACTGGTGAGTCCCCAAATTTCCAGTAGCCTAACAAGCAGGCAAGGATGGGATAGTGACTTCAGGCTGAAATAAACCTAGACATTTGATGCTTAATTTATAAAGACCATCTCCAATGCATTTAGGTATCACTCTCGTGATTTCTTATTTTGCTTATTAACTAAAATAATAACTTTCCATGTGTCTGTATTAGTGTTTTTATTAATAACCGAGAGATAGGCAGATAGCCCTAATTCCTTGAATTTCCACTTTAAATCTTTAGGATTGTGTAGCCATATATATATATATATATATATATTTTTTTTTTTTTTGACAGGCAGAGTGGATAGTGAGAGAGAGAGACAGAGAGAAAGGTCTTCCTTTGTCGTTGGTTCACCCTCCAATGGCCGCCATGGCTGGCACGCTGCAGCCGGCGCACCGCGCTGATCCGATGGCAGGAGCTGGGTGCTTCTCCTGGTCTCCTGTGGGGTGCAGGGCCCAAGCACTTGGGCCATCCTCCACTGCACTCCCAGGCCATAGCAGAGAGCTGGCCTGGAAGAGGGGCAACCAGGACAGAATCCGGCGCCCCGACCGGGACTAGAACCCGGTGTGCCGGCGCCACTAGGTGGAGGATTAGCCTATTGAGCTGTGACGCCGGCCGTAGCCATAGATATTAATCCATCCTTATAGATGAATTTCCAATTTAATAGCCAGGGATGTGTATAGGTTCTTGAATAAGCAGATAAAGTATTGTTTTCCATTAATTTCCACGTGTAACTCCATGAATATTCATAATTACATTTAAGTAGGGTGGAGCAGTGGAGGAATTTTGCTTAGAGATGTCAGAGTTAATAGAGAGTTCTTGCAATAGATCTCAGGCAATAAAGCACATTAAATTCCAGGTTGGGGTTCTTCAAAAAGCATATTATGAAAAAAATCAAGAACTAAAAATATTTTTAGACTAAATCAAATTTGTTTTAATTATATTTTCCATGAACTTTTTGAAGTACCCTCATATATCTAAACTTCTTTTTCTATATGTACATTGCCAGACTCTCAACTTTATATATCCTGTGTATTTGAGTTCTCCACAATCATTATTTTTCAACCTAGATATACCATCAACTTCCAGATAGATATTTACAGGTAACAGATGTAAGTAGACTAGAAGTTTATGAATTTTATATAATAAATATAGTATGCCATTCTATATTTTCCTTATTTTAAAACTTACGTGTAAATTTCTGATTTTTTTTTATTTGTTGTCAATAAAATCCTTATATTACTGGATATTTGTGACTATGGGAGGATGTTTTAAAAAGTTAAACTAGGCTAATCCTCCACCTGTGGCGCTGGCACTCCAGGTTCTAGTCCCGGTTGGGCCGCTGGATTCTGTCCCGGTTGCCCCTCTTCCAGGCCAGCTCTCTGCTGTGGCCCGGGAGGGCAGTGGAGGATGGCCCAAGTGCCTGGGCCCTGTACCCACATGGGAGACCAGGAGGAAGCACCTGGCTCCTGGCTTCGGATCAGCGCAGTGTACCGGCTGTAGTGGCCATTTGGGGGGTGAACCAACAGAAGGAAGACCTTTCTTTCTCTCTCTCTCACTGTCTAACTCTGCCTGTCAAAAAAAAAAATCCATTTTCCTTTTAGTGACTCATGCAAAGATAGCTGGTGAGTTAAGATGATTTGGCATAATTTCTGCAAGAATCAGATATATCAAAACATCTCTCCATATCACCTATTTAAAGTCACAAATTTAAATAATTAGTATGCATATATTTAAAGCTGTGCTTCTTTTAGTGTATAAATATATGCTTATGTAACAAAAGGTGCCCATAATCACTTCATTTTTCTGAAAATACAGGTCATTTATACTGTACTTTCCTATTGTTTCTCCCTTAGTCCTTTAAAAAAACGAATAGTCTATGCATAGCTATAAAACATATATATCTGCCTTTACAGAGCTCAGAGATTTGACATACAGGCAGTTTGTTGCCTAACGAAGTTAGATCAAAGTTTCAATAGATTATAACTTAATAGTTATAAAGTATAGATGTCTGCTTTTTACAGATCTTCAGGCACTTTGTTTCCTAAGCTTTTTTGCTATAGGACAGACATGCTGCCTAATGAAGGATGTTAACTTTGGGTGCACATGCGAGTTTAATAGCATACTTAGTTTTGAAGTTTATTCTTTGACCATGAGTTGCATTCAGTGCTATAAAAATAATTTGAGCTGGTCAAAGATAATAGGTCATTTACATGCACTAAATGTGAGTGTTCTGAACTGCTGCTCTCTCTCGGCCGCTGGCATCACAGGCTTGGCAAATGGCAGTCGCATGGACTGGCAGGTTGAGTAGTTAATATGTAGGATGAACACTGTTTTTCTCTTTGGTTTTCAATAAAATGCATACTGGCATTAAGAAATTAGTGGTAGTCTTAATAACTTGGTAAATAAAGGAAATCAACCACAGCTCTTTCTCTAAAAACGGTTGCTTTTTTGATATGTCTTCCTATGTTCTTTTGTTTTAATATGAAATAAACTTATTGAATTCAAGTGAATTTATTCATAGGGAAACAAAATTTTAAAAATTAGATGAAGTAGTGAATGTTTATAGATACAATTATGTGTATTAGAGATCTTCAACTTACCCGTTGAATATAAGAAGATATTTTCTGTGCAGTGAATTCTCAGGTCATTCTGTGTGTTATTCTAATCAATATGTGTGTTATTAGTAATCAGTTTATTACTAATTTGTTTAATGTGAATGGTCGTGAAATTTTTATCGCTTATGTAACAAGAACTGGCATTTGGAAAGCACTTTAACTTGATAGTTAGGCAACTGTTTGAGCTATTTGCAGTTAAGCTTTTTTCTTAAATGACTTTGTTATTGGAACAAAATAAAATTTTAAGTGATGAAGAGAAGCAAATTACATGTAGATATTCAATTTATTCCCTACTGAAAGAAATAGTTGAAAATCAAGTTTTTTTTAATTTAAAATATTTAGGTTCTTTATAGATTATAATATCTTGGCCACTATTTTTGTACCTCTGCTATATTTGCTACAGTTCTAAAATTACTTGGCAGAGTGATTTAGAGCTTAAAGATTCTTACTCTGTCTATGTAGAGGTAAAAATCCTACAGTTTGTTTTTCTTGATATTCAGCCTGTACTCCTGGGGTAGCAGGGAAATACAGCAATCTGATCTCTTATTATAAGGGAAATACCATATTTAAGCTTTAATGCCTTATTTTAAGGCTAAGCCACCATCTGTTATATACCCTTCCTGTTCTCTTTGGTAAACTTAGGTTGTATTTGTTCCTTATGAATCACCTTCTCTTCCCAGTCAAACCATACCTTCACAAAAAGAGTTATGATGCCTTTGAAACATTTAAGCTTGAAAATCACCAAGTGTGCATCCTTTCCTAACTCTTCTGCGTATCGCACTGTCTTGAAATCGAATCATTAAGTTACTCTACTGTGATTTAGGGAGAAAATTTGGTTTTCATAGGTCTTCAGGATATTATGTACAGTATGATGCCGTAAGAGTAAGAATTTGTTTCCTGCTTAATGCTTTATCCCAGTGTCTACATTTTAAAAGCATTTTGTAAGCAAATATGTATGCAGTGTTATTGGAAATGAAAGAAATGTTTTGTCAGATTCAGTAAAGTTGTGATTTACAGTATTAGAGTAGGAGACAAGAATGTGAAAATTTTGGCCTTGTGTTTAGTCTGAGGAAGAATCTGCCTGGCAGTGCCTGAAACAAATGCTGTGGCTCACCAACATTTTATTGTTAGCAGGGTTGAAACAGAAAAGCCCTCATTTTAAAAGGATTTTAATAGAATTACCTATTCTCAATCATACACGATTCCTGTATTTCCCCTTCTTCTCCCATTAGTGTAGCCTTAAAGAATTTTAGGTAACTATGGTAACTGTTATGGCTACATTTCAAGATACCAAAATTTCAAAAATTAGCTAGGAAGGTATTAAAAATAACCACCTAATATAGCTTACTAAAGCAAGATTCAGTAGCAGGGTCTGTGTAATTTCTTCACATTTTCCAATTTGCTTTCAGTAAAACATGTTAAATATTTAATCAATGAAAAGTGTTTTTAAAACTTCAATAACATGTTAAATAATTTTTTCTAAGGAAATATTTTCAACTTTCTTATATAATAATGAATAAAAGACTATCAGAGATAAGTCTTGGAGATTGTTTAATAGAATTTCTGTAGCTGTGGGGAGCAATCCGGACTGGACTAAGTTACTCGAATTAGGACTTATTCTATGCATCTGCTCTCCCACAATATGGCGCTGGGAGAGAAGTAAACAGCTTCCGCACAGCTGCCTCCAGTTCAACCAATTAACTGTAGGACTTGCTCCTGATTGGAGAGCAGCGTACTCAGCCGAGTTGGGATTGGCGGAGGAGGACTATAAAGGAGGAGAGAGACGGCATGCACGGGGAACATCTATGGGGAACATCTAGCTGAGGGAACACCCGTGCAGCCCCCGAGAAGAGCCGGCCGGCGGTGTGCCGCTCCCCTGCGGAAGTGGGGAATGTGGCCAGGGGGAACTGCCCTTCCACGGAGGTGGAAGGGATAGTAGCCAACCCGGGAAGAACCAGCAGCAAACCCGGGGAGGGCCGAGCAGACGAAAGAACAGCGCAGGGTTCAGTGTTGCTCCTCCACGAAGAGGGGGAGCGACATAATGGTGCCGTGACTCGGATAGGAAACCTGACTCGGATAGGAAACCTAGGACGGATAGCAAACTTAGGAGGGAAGAAACGGGAAGAATTGGGAAAATATCGGAGAGACTAGCAAACAGCCTAGGGAAAAGCCGGACGAAAAAGGAGCCGGAAGAAGCTATTGAAAGCCTAGGCATAGACTCAGATACGGACTACGGGGGGAAGCTGGGAGGAATCTCTAAGGTCGAAAGCGAAAGTGAAAGCTAGAACAAACAGACTCGGACGCGGACTGTGGGGAGAGGCCAGGAGAAATGAGGGAGGAATATCGTTGGAGGAAAGCTTGGGGAA